GTTACTTTACATCCACTTTAAAGCCACTCGAGGTGAACACAATGGGAAGGTGACAGGTGGAGGTGAGGACGGGGCTCTTGAGCTGATATGACGGGATAGGGGGGGGCAACACACCTGCAGCGTTCACAAGTGACCGCCATGACCACCATCACCGCCATCACCGCCATGACCACCATGACCACCATCACCACCATGACCGCCATGACCACCATGACCACCATCACCACCATGACCGCCATGACCACCATCACCGCCATGACCACAATGACCACCATCACCACCATGACCACCATCACCACCATCACCGCCATGACCACTATCACCGCCATCACCGCCATGACCACCATCACCACCATCACCGCCATGACCACCATGACCACCATGACCACCATGACCACCATCACCGCCCATGACCACCATCACCACCATCACCGCCATGACCACCATGACCACCATCACCACCATGACCACCACCATCACCGCCATGACCACCACCATCACCGCCATGACCACCATCACCGCCATCACCACCATGACCACCATGACCACCATCACCACCATCACCGCCATGACCACCATCACCACCATGACCACCATGACCAACATATTCACACAACACAGTTTGAGGCTTATTTTACTGTAGTTTTGTTCCATAATATTTACTAATTTGTAGTTATTTGAATTTCAAACCACAACCTTTTCCGAAAGTGGTTTTGTTGCCTAACCCTAAAGTTGTTTTGCTCCCTTGTTGTAGGTTCAGTTTGGCCGTCTGAAGCATTACAATTTATTTAACATTATGACCATTCAATCGGCTGGTGACAAAAAAACAGGACCCCCCCCCCACACACACACACACAGACACCCACACACCTCCACAGCTCTGAGCTGCTGAAAGGGCAGAATTTATAGATACACGATGAGCAGTCAGTGTTTAAGTAATTGCTCAGACTAGATTGCCGAATCCTTTAGCTAATAGATCGGGGCACTTAGTATTGACTGAAGCTGTTTAGCATGCATGCTAATATTTCAGGCTTTAAGTATTCTGCCCAGAAACTGGCCGGGCGAGCGCCTAATCACTGAGGGGCTTAGAGTTCAGCCTGCTAAATTACACGTTTAACATTGACATTGGTGTTTAGCATGCAGTCAAATAAATGGCTAATTTACGAGCCTGACTAATGACTGATGTGTTTAGCATGCGGGCTAATGAGCAATGTATTTAGCATGCAGGCTAATTAGAGAGCTGCAGGCTGATTAGTATTGCTCCACAGAGAGACGCTGCTGTTTGCTGTTTACTCACGTCATTCTCAGCTGCCTAACACACACACACACACACACACACACACACACAGTCTGCATGTGGATAGCATATATTTTAAACGTAAGACTGAAACATGACTCATTAAATTCTCTCCTCTTTGATAAGTAGTTCTATAATCACGTGTAGAAAGGATTTTACTTTCTTCTCTGTCCATGAGAGAAATCTAGAGGATGAATTATCCTCCAATATCAATATATGTATCACTGTACAAATGTTTTCTGACATCATGTCAAGACTGACTCCTCTGCGTTTATTGTGTTTATTGTGTTTGTTGAGTTTGTTGTGTTTGTTGTGTTTGTTGTGTTTGTTAGGTTTGCTGTATTTGTTGTGTTTGTTGTGTTTGTTACATTTGTTGTATTTGTTGTGTTTGTTACGTTTGTTGTTTTTGTTAGGTTTGTTGAATTTGTTGTTTGTTACGTTTGTTGGATTTGTTGTTTGTTGTGTTTGTTGTATTTGTTAGGTTTGTTGTATTTGTTTGTTGGTTTTGTTATGTTTTTTTGGGTTGGTCGGGTTTGTTGGGATTCATGGGTTGGTGTATTGTTAAATTAAGAGGAGGAAAGTTTGACGTAGTTAGAGTTCTGCTCTGGCTTAAAACCCAGATCCCGGCCCGGGGACACTCCAACCACGTAACAGACAACGTGCTGTCTGACACTCCCACCACGAAAGAACAACATTCTACAGGTAGTGAACAGAGTACCTGAGCAGGTAGAGAACAGAGTACCTGAGCAGGTAGAGAACAGAGCACCTGAGCAGGTAGAGAACAGAG